CTGGGTGCTTGTGGTCGGGTTCCCGGCTGGCTTGTCTCCCACTTCCTTTTATTTGTTTCCCACTTCTTTTCATTTGTCTCCCAGGCTGGGTGCTTGTTTCCGGGCGGCTTGTCTCCCACTTCCTTGCATTTGTCTTGAACTTTTGCCCGAAACAGTTTACTGTTAGGGGTTCTCAATTCTTTCTTAAGATGTGTCGCTGCTGGTGTCCGCCCATTTTTCTAATTATTCATTTTTCTCCCAGGTCTGTCACTGCTGGTGTCCGTCCGTTTTCCGCTGGCCATGCAGCATTTCCATTCATGTGTCTCCGAGGTCTGTCACTGTTGGTGTCCGTCGTTTTCCGCCGGCGGTGCAACATTTCTATTCATTTGTTTTCCAGCTCTGTCACTGCTGGTGTCCGCCCTTTTCCGCTGGCCATGCAGCATGTCTATTCGTTTGTTTCCCGGGTCTGTCACTGGTGCTGCCGCCCTTTTCCGCTGGCCATGAAGCATTTCTATTCATTTGTCTCCCATGTGATTTCTTTCTTTTTGTCTTTCAGGTTTGGTCCCTGCACTGCTGTTTTCTGCCCTGTCGGCTGGAACAGGTTCACCTGTTGCGTGACTGTCTCCGGGATTGCATTCCTGCCGCATTGTGCAACACTCAGCTTTGTTTTCCTTTTCGGGCCAGCGTTGGCTGAATGACCGGATTGGATTTCGGCGGCGTGGCAGCCATCTCTCTGTTCAGTTGGGACGGAGGGCATACGTCAGGCACCAAAAATCAATTTCATGTCACATCCTTCGCTCCTCATGCTTTTATTTCTTGTCCTCACGTGGTCAACTCCCCGCTGATTGAGCAGCATGACCAGCATCATGTTCGCGCTTGAAGAATAATTCACTTACTGTTGGGGCTTCTCGATTCTTTCTTAAAATGTGTCCGCCCGCTCTGTACTGCTGTGTCCGTCTTTGCCTTGCAATCCTTTACATTTGTCTCCCAGCTCTGGGCTGCCGCCTCTGCCTTGCAACTTTGTCTCCCAGTTCTGGACGTCGCAAGCTCTAGTTTCGACTTTGAAAACACAAACTGTTTGGGGTCTACGGTGGTGTAATGTCGACTCAGTATGCTGATGTCAACCCCTCAACAGGAACCGGTGATTCTTCTGGATTTGTACCTTTTCCAAGAGCTGTCACTCCTAAAATCAACGCTTGCCATGCAGACGAACCTCACCTGGGACACGACTTGACAGACCCAAGCACCTCGCCCTCTCCCTGGCAGCGGCCAGTGAGCGTGACATGGGGCCGAAAGAGGGGCAGCCTGCAGCACGCGACGGCGACGATTTCGACCGATTCAGTGAACGATTCGGTGACCGCGTCGGAAGAAAAAGGAAAGAGAAAAAAGCCTTGGGTCTATCTCATGGTGGGTTAGGTGCCTCAAAAATAGTGATTATCTGTATCCGACTGTTACTGCTAATGGGACGCACCCTACTAAAAGCAAAAACCTTTTGGTTGGGGGATGTTGGGGGGATAACATCTCCAGTGTCTATTGATTCAAGTGCACACACCTGTAGATACGACGAAACAGCATGAAACAGCCAATTTGCCCCGGATGGCACCGGCTATTCCATCCTCTCTGAAAGTGCAGAAGCTGTTGAATCCCAATTCCCGGTCCGGGTCGAAACCGCCCAAAAGAGTGAATGCGGAAAGCTGCAGTTCCTGGCCACAGAGGATTCTCTCGGAAGACATATGCATGACATATGCTTCAGATGATGGTTGCTGTGAAATGGACGTTTGATTCCTGTGGAGGCTGTGGTGTCTCCATCTTTGGGACACGCTCTAAGCTGGCTTGTGAACCAAGGGGTTCCATTCACTTCATTCTCATCAAGTGATAAACTTCTGCGACAGTTCTAGCTTGGTTTTGTCCACATGAACGCTTGCGGAGAGCTTTTTTTTGGCCAACTTTATACGGTTCATGTTGATTAATCTTGCCTCACATGTGGCCTGTGTTGGACTCTCTCTCTCTCTCTCTCGCTCTTGCTCTCTCTTGCCTAACACATTAGCTCCACCCACCTGGCTTCACGTCCCCCAGCAGCCCTACTTGATCTAATATGACCTCTATTGACCTCTTGCTTCATCACCATGTCATCGTTCCATTTCACCCCAAGCGAGTTCCTTCCATTTCACCCAGGAAAGCACCTGGAACCACCCTCCGCCCCAACACACATGGGGCGCCTGCGCCCCCAGGGCCGGAGAAGGGCCATCGCCGGCACCGAGCTGCCAGCGCCATGACCTCGGGAAAAAGGGACGCTGGACGGGTGACGTAAGGACTGGAAACTGGAACCTGCTTGATGTCGTTCGTTCAGGGTGTTTTTTGATCTTTCTTGTGCCCTCAGTGTCATCCAACTTGGACTCTCACGTTGCTGGATTTCTTCCAAGTCCAAAGGTTCTATAGGTATCTCTCTAGGTGGTTCTGTGGCAGATGCGTCACTCTCTTGAGCCCTCCAAAGGTTGGTCACTGCTCCGTTCCGCGCTCGCACCTCTCATGCCGCTCTTCCCCGTTCTGTCTGTTCGAACGGCTCACCTGGACCGTAGCCCACTTGCTATAGAACCTAAGACCGACTTGAGCAGCAGTATGCCTGCCATGCTGCATCATGCTTCGACTCCGCCATCCCGGCTCCAAACAACGGCCCATGGCGCACAAGGTCCCGCCGTCCTTGCGAGCCTTTCTAAGTGGTCTCAGGTAGTTGGTTGCGTGAGTATGTTTGGGTTAACAGAGAATTGACACTCACATGACATGCATAATTTTTTTTGCGTCACTTGGAAAGCCTGAGGAGACCCCTGAAGTCCACCGAGTCACTGGAGAACCCCCTCTCCCACCGAGTCACAAGCGGCCAACGCTTCCAACATCTGCACGGGGGGCACGGGTTGCCGAGTGGAACGAACCGGTTGCACGGACCGATCTGGCGGTTGAAGTCAAACATGGCAGCCTTGGTCTAGAGTCTAGAGTTCCTTTTTGGTTTCCATGCCTTCCACGCCAGAAACAAAGACCAGCGAGACTTGATGCTCGTTTGCAAGCACCGTGGCATGTGGTTCAATGCTCAACAGCGTGGCTCAAAATCGAGTCAGAACCTAGTCACTGGAAGTCTCCAGCTTTAGAAGGTACTGGGACCCTGCTGCAAAGTTGTCCCAAGAAGCCATGGCACTCATTTCCTTGGCGTTCCATTCGATGAGAACGTCGTGAAGGCGTAGTTGACTTGGTCGAGTTCGAAGAACTTGAATGGCCTTTTGCATCTTCTGCAAAATCATGTGCACTGTTGTTCGCGGTCTTGTCATCCCGTGTTGCAATACTTTGGCAAGGTGATGAAGGTCGTCGAGGTCTAGTGATGAGTGGCAAACAACCAGCAAAGCCTGCACGTAAGTTTGGACTAGCCTGGCACAAAACTCTGAATCTGCACTTGCGGCGTTCTCCTTGATTGCACCTTGCAAGACTTTCACGGCAAAAGTTGGCCGGCCAGCCAACAAGTGTGCTTTTGCCCTTGCATCGTGGCAAATGACATTTGGCTCGACTTTCTGTCTCACACCATGACGCCATATGGCCTCTGCTCGTCTCCAAGCTCCTCTCACCGCCGCTGAATTTAGTAGGCTACCCAAGAGAACCTGGTTGAGTAACTGCTTTGAATCGTTCTGTCTGCCCTCCAACAGTGCATCCACCTCCTCGTGATGCCCGAACTGCTCCAAGAAAAGCACGTATGTGCACAACGTGATGTGGCTCTTGTCGTACGAAGCAGTACTTGACTTCTCCCACATGGCCTTGCCCCAGCGGTATGCAGCCTCCGAGTTGATGCTAGTAGCGAGCCTTAGTGAGCTGCTAAGCGAGCAATTGAAGCTATCCACCTCTGCCGGGGAACCAATCTCTTCTCAAAGCTCTTTGGCCAAAGCAAGAGCCATTTGCGCCCGCGACTCAACCACTCGGAACCTGTGCCCTTTCTTTAAGCATAAGGTTAGTGCAGTCAAGGCTATGCCACGTTGGATGGGAAAAAGCTCCACACACTGCTCCTTTTGGATCTTCCTGATCTCCATTAATTCAGCCCACCATCCACGATTGCCACAAGTCTGCATGGCAGCACCAATCACACTTGCCTCTAGCGTTCCGTCATTCACTGCCGACCTCACCAAACTGAGAAGCTCACTCTGGCTTCCACACTTCTTGATCTTCCTGCGCAGGGTAGCAGCTGCGTCGCTTCTTCCTTGCTTTCCGTGACGGCGCGCCGCGGTGGGGGAGTTCAAGAAGTACAATTTCTTCGGCATGTTGCGTCCCGTTGCCTCGGATGAGGGGATTCCACATGACGTTCGTGTGGATTCAGTGATCCAAATCGAATCTATTCACTCACACCAGCCTTATGTGTCTCAAAAAGAGCAGGTCCAAACATTCCTGAGTTTCCTGTTTGGGTAGATCCAGTGTCTTCAGAAGTTTCAAGCCACGTGGGCTTCTCACTGCTTGAAGTTTTTGCTGTCTTTTTTGTGGTTTTGAAAGTTGGCACGCGCAACCCTGGTGGGCTTACAAAGCAACTCCCATGTGGCGTCACTTCCTTCTTGACCAAGTCACATGATCATGCGACGGTCGCTCTAGCATTCGCCTCCTGCGGGAAGAATGCACTTCAGCCGGCCTCGAGTGACTGTGCAAACACAATGCTCCGGCGGCAGCAAAAATCCTGCGCAGCAGGGCCAGTGCTGTGGATCCAAATAATCCGGCATAATTAACCTTTACTTGGGTGTATCCCATTACCAGTAACAGTGGATGATGATATTTCCCCAAAATAGTGAGCATCTTTTGCGGATTGTTACTGTACTAGAAATGGGACGCGCCGACGCGCCCAGGATGACTAATCCACGCATTGCTTGGGATCTGTGTCGAATGTCGAAATGACTGGCGGGGCTCCAATTCGGAGACACGACTGGCCGCAGCGTCGCCCTTTTGCCCAGTGGAAGAGGCTGTAATTACTGCATCAACACAAGCGTCGCGGAATTGGTGCAATGAATCGGAAAAGTACGAACACACCACATAATTATACAGATCTCCTCTGCATAAAGCCCAAAAACACGCAGTCCCCGAAATTGAACAGGATAAGCCTCAAAGAAAAGCCTGCTTCATTCGTGGCCACTCCTCGCAGGGTGCAACCACGAGCTCCAGCGTCTCGGGGCACGAGCGGAGTGGCCACGCGAGGAGGAGCTCCAGTGGCACAGCGGCTTGTTCCCCGGCACAGCGGCAAGGGTGCACAACGACATGCTTGGGGTCTTTTGGTGGGTCTAGCAGACTTATGGAAGAGGTGGTTACAAGTACAGGATAGGAGAGGATTCCCAGTGTTTAATGATCATATTATTGTTGCAGCTCATGATGTTTCTCGCATGATAAATTTACTGTGTGAACACCAAAAATATTCTTCAAACATCTTCAAACCTTGTGAAGGATGGCTGCCTGCAGAAACCCCACTACCTCCGCCACGAATCGAGTTCGCCAAGACCAGCCCTCTGGAGTGGGTGGTCCCTGGAGTGCGTTGGTGAATGTCGTTGTCCAATGATGAAACTGAAGCCGAGCCACACGGGTCGTGTCACATTCCATGAAAAAGACAGAAACGAAACATAGCCCAAAGATTCTACGTCCTCACGACAACTGCTTTTCTATCAAAACATCAGCCTTGGCTTGGAACCAACTCTGCGGTGTAGTGTGTGCGTGTGTGGGTGTGGTAACTCATGTGCTGTGATTGACATGTTCGTGCCAGCTGTGTCACAGCTCAAAGCACAATCACCAAATCTCTAACGAGGCTTCGAATCCCTAAAACCATCAACTTGAGCTTTAAGAACTTAAACGCCTCGTTGCCTTCTTTACCCTTTAAAATTGACCAAATTAAGAAGTTCACCAGCCTGATGGTGATCTCTCATCCTGGATCCTCAAAAGTGGAAAAGGACACCGCACAGTGCCTCTAGTGGCCGCACCGCTCCAGGAGGTTTCTCGTCCAGAAACACCAGGGCTTCACGCCAGCGGAAGGCTTTGGACAGGGCCTCGCACCGAAGGTGCTGGAGGAGAGCGCCAGCGAAAACAGGACAGAACGCATTGTGGCAGGGCAAAAGAGTTTGGGGCAGCCATGATCAGGCAAGAACTGGGGAGTTTGGGAGTTTGGGAGCAACCCAAAACCCTTTGAACGAACCCATTAGAAGGTATACCTGATTTCTGGCTATGCCTACATAGAGCAGTGCAAGTGGCAAACTATGTGTCGATGTTTCCGTCAACAAGTAAGCTGTTCCACTTGCTGCAACTGCTGCAACTTGACCCCATTCTGGGTGGGAGATTTGCGGGATAGTTTCCGTGGATGATATTCGTAACAAGGGTTATTCTCGGCTTACTCCTTGCTACTGGCAAGTAGTATGCTCCTTTTTCACCATACAACACTGCTTCACAATCCTCACAAAAAACTGACGCAGCAGCCCAGTGAGCGACCTTGGACAATTGAAACTTGCTTGGTGAACTTCACAAACACGACTAAAACCACGTGCATGTCAAACTGCAAGAAAGGCTTGGATACCGAGCCCCGACATCCCCGGCTAGTCCCAACAAATCATCCAACAAAAAAAACAAGTTTGCCAAGTCTGCCAAGGTCTTGTCATACGATGGTATCGGAGTATATACAGTATCGCCGCTCACAACTATACACGGATGGTGGCAAATTACCCCTCCACTTCAGCCTCCAAAACTTGGCTCCCAGCATGTAAGAGGGCCCCACTGCTCAAGGCATCGCTGGAGATTGAGGACGCAGACATGTCCTGAAAATTCATGGATGATCCACAGTCTAGAATTGAAGTCTGTCATTCACTCCTGTTCATGTTTATCAACAGAAACCTTCAAAAGACAAAAACAACAAAAAACATGGGGCACCATCTGAATCTTTGAGTCCTGTGAGAATCACCACATGTTTGTTTTTTTTGTTTTATGTGCTAGTTGGAGTCCAACAAAATTACACGAATTCACTAATGGGTTAGTGAATGCATCATGTTTATAGCCTGGTTCTAATTAATCTAATATGAATCATGACATATCATGACCGAATTCATCCATGTTCTACTCTAGCCTGGTCGTTGGCTTCGCAACCTTCGACCCTCCCCCACTCCCCCGCTCCTCCGCGACGAGCAGGGCGCGCTCCCACGCAGCGGCACGGGACAAAGTGCTCAGGAGCGTGGCGAAGCTGAAAAGGTCCGGCAGAAGACCTGAGGTTGCGGTACTACGCGCTTGAAGTGGGTGATCTCCACTAGTTGACCTGCTTTCGGGTGACTTGCGAGGTCGCTCTTGGAGTCTTTTTGTGACTTCCCAGAAAAGGGTGGGGGGAAAAGGGATCCGCGGGGTGCGGACGAGTTCACCGCGCAATGGCGAGACCCGCTTCTGAAGATTGAGAGGAGCAAACAACCCTTTCCGTGAGAATCACTTTCGGGATTGCCCAGGACTCCGACTCCAACTGTTTACTTCTTTACAGTAGTTCATTTGGTTTTGGGGGTTTGGGGAGATATTAAGTTAAGGCAAATGGATCTCTGGAGCTCTATCTTCTTTGCTCGGGGTCTAATTACTCAGATCCCTTTTCGGTTGGCAACTGTGACTTGCCTTGCATCAATGTTTGAAGATGACCACCCAACAAGGCCTCAGGATTGCGGGCCAACCGAAATGGTTGATGACTGATGTCCTGATCTATCTTCACAGGAGGTGAGTGGGAACTCGAAATCATCGTGTCTCCACAGCTCTTCGATGAAATCACCAAACATCTGAGCCCTTCTCTTCCGCGGCCTTTTTCGATTCCTGGAAATCAGTCCACCATGTCCACCTCCTTGGATGTTGAATGGGGAAACCAAATCCGGTGAAAGGGAAAAGCAGGCCTTGTTCTAACAAAAAGGAGGTGGAAAAGCCATCATTCCTGTCCACCTCCCTTGGCCTTGTTCACCTCCGAAACCCCCCCTTTCTAACACAAATCTGGTGAAAGCAGGTGCTCCACGGTCAGGTGCTCCTTCGTCCGTCCATCGAACATGCTTCATCGAACCGACGTGGTTCTGCATCCCGTTGAGGCCTTGCTTCTGCATCTCTCGGAGCAATTGCGCGGAACGCTGCCATCCTGGCCACACGATGTATCGCGGGCTGTATCAGGTGAATCGATCGAAGGCGAAGCGGTTTTTCCTTGCGCAGTTGAGTCATCCAAAACAAATCCCAGACACTCCATGTATGCTATGCCTACATTGGGGTGTCTGGGAATTGTATTTCTTGTGCTTTGGGCTTGAGGTGTCCAACAACTTCATTATATAATTTGTCTTGAAGATGCGAATCATGTATATATAGGCACGCAGTGCAACCAATACAACTTTGTTACAATATACCCCATATTTTCTCGTGCCAAAGACGCAGCCAAATCCCTTTCAAGGTTTCTTTCTTTCCTCTATGCAAGCAGAGTGACCAGTTGACCAAACCAATAGGAGGATCGAACTGAGAAGAGGCAAGTCACAAAGTTCACAACAATGCCTGCAAACCTGTCCTCCCACATGTATAGGTTGCACATAGTTGCACGCGGGGAAAATTTGGCATGTACCCAAACCCACCAGCTCGAAAACCGGGGGATGAAATCAGAAACTGTATTACCAGCAAGGTAGGTGTGTCAAATCTGCTATTTTTGTTCAGGATCTCCAATCCACAAAATGGGGTTGTGGGCATGTATAACTAAGCAAATAGGTATTGTGTTGAATGTCCAATGCAACGGCCAAAAGCAATTAACAAACGCATACAGGACCGGCTACAGAGTGCAAGGTGGACGACCTTTGTGAGCATGATGTTTGAACCACATGGGATGCCAAATTAGCAGAGGTCACTCCGCTGGTGTGCCACAGGAAACAAAAAATGACTAATTTAATAGTACAGAAACAAAACGAGTCAAATCAAGGGATAGAAAAACATCATGCTCAATTGTGCGGTTGTGATATGTTTTCTTCTTCAGTCATCATATAGTAAACCAAATGATTCCTTCAGTGCCTGTCGCATTGACTCGTGCTACTCGTGCTAGGAATCGTTCTGCCATGCTTCTTCCTCGCCCCGGCCACGCCTACCGCCTGCAACGCCGCATTGTAGGCTGTCCGATCGACTGACTCCGACGACTCCTGACGTGTCAAGAAGAATAATTAACGCTCAGGGTGGTATAGAGGAATCAAGTTCCGCTGGGGTTTATCAGATGTTGATTAACATTTGGATTCCTATTTTTTGGTTTCGACGACTTACTTGGACTTGGACATTGAATCTCTACCTGACCTCTAGACTCTATCGTGGTTTTCGGATTTGAAAGGCACCAATCCCAACCAAAAAGAATGTTATATAAAACTGCTTTCTGCCAATCATGATGTCTTCCTGCTTTCATCACAAGGAACTATGTCACAAAGCTAACTTTTTCCAATGGTGGTGAAGCAAACTATGTATTTGCCCTCTACCCAATCGTTCTGAGTTCAAGCCGCTGTTCTTGTTGAACGCTTGCGAGCTACTTTCAACTGAAGTTCATGCAGTTCCGACTTCAACCCTTGAACAATGGCCAGGCTGCAACATGTTGGGCATGTTGCAATTACTTTCCGTGCTTTCTTTCGCCTGGCCATGTTGTCCTATGTTCACCTCCCAGATCCTCTCCCCAGCTCGCAGCTCGCTCCTTCAGCAGTGCCTGCGCCAGCTGCCACTTCCTCACCTTGCCCAAGGCGCCGAGCACTGCCTGGCGCCGAGGCCGTTGTCGGTCGATGACATGGGTGTAGGACATCTAACAGACGGGTTGTGAGAAACCAAGTTATTAAATGAATGTTCACATCGCAATAAGTCAGCTACGAGTCCAGATTCAATGAATAGACTTTTGATCGATATTGAATTACATGTTAGTTTCAATGAAATCAAACAACATTGAAAACAAACTGTCATAATCCTATAAGGTCTGAGGTTTACAATTGCGAGTAGTTTGTTTTTACAAATAACACAATTTACGGCCGTCCATTTTCCACTAGGGGGATGTTTTCATTGCGATGTGAACATTACGTATATACATATATAAGTAGCAGGTGAATATCTTGTGCAGAGACGCTGTAGACACTGTTGTCTGTAAACCAGGAATTTATGGGAGTATGTCTCCCATCAAGTGGATCGTTGGTGTGTTTATGTCGCCTGATCAACCCCTGATGTCATGAGTAAGCCTTTACGAATGTTCATGTTGTTCATCCTTCCTTGTCAAGGCCTTGTAGGATGTTGTGCC